CGGGAGGGCCGCGCTGATTAGGCCCCGCCGGCCGGGGCGCCGAGACGTTCAGCGGGAGTCGGCCGCCTGAATGAAGGGTCATTATTGCTACAAGTTTAGCAATTTCGCCCTTGCAGGAGGGGGCGGGGGCTGCTCGGCTGCTGCGGGGCCGCTGGGCTGGAGAGCGGCAGAAACCCGGGCGGGAAGGGAGGGAAAAAAGGTGGGGAGGAGGAGAGGGAGGCAGGCGAGGGAATCCTCCCAAACCCGCTGACCGCCCAGGACGAGGCTCGGAGGCAACCGAAAGGGCCTGGCGGGAGGCTGGCGAGCGGGCGCCGGGGAGCGAAGACCCTCCCTCCCCTCGCTTCTCTGGAAACAGAAAGACCCTGGAGCTGAGCGTGAGTTACTGCACCAGACGGCTGGGCCCTCGGCGCCTCGCCGCCGGTCGCCTGCTTTCCGAGAAGCCGCGCGGTGCTGGGACACCGCCTCCGCCGCCGCGCTCACCACATGACGCCGCAAGCCCCCCTCCTAGCGTCCTCTCTTCTGGGGCTATTATTTTTCCATGAGCTGGCTAGGCTAAGGGCTGGGGAGGGAATTCTCCCTTCCTAGCACATTTCTCACTGTCGGCAGCTGCAAATGACCCATCCATCCATCCATCCATCCATCCATCCATCCATCCATCCATCCATCCATCCATCCATCCACAGCATTTACTGAGCACCTACTAAAATACGTTCACTTGCACTGTTTTGGATGCTGAGGCGGAGGAGGGGGGGAGACAATGTCCTCTGGTGTATGAAGTTTATTTTCAGGGGTGTGTGTGGCAGGGAGGTAGACAAACAAATGTAAAAAATAGTGGATAAATTCTAAAAAGGAAATAGAACCAAGTGCTGGAGGGGGGCTCTTTTGGAGTAGGTGGTCAAGATAGACACGTCGAGGAGATTACGTTGAAGCTGATGCCTGAGTGACATAAAGGAAGCCAGTCCTAACTGCGCTTCGCTGTCTCAGCCTCCACGCCTCTGCACGTGCCGCCCCCCTCCTGGAATGCTCTGCACCCCCACCTATCTGGTGAACTCTTGCCTCTCTTTCAAGGCCAGGCATCTTCCTGAACCGCCCAAGTGGAGGTAATCACTCCCTCATGTGCCACCAGAGTCTTAGGTACTTTCCAATATCACAACATAGTGGCTGCAAAGATTTATTTGTCTCTCTCCCTCCACCTGAGGTCCCAGTGAGTATGCATTGGGGGGTAGGGCAGGTTGACATACTTTTCCTCTGGGACAGATAACACAGGCAGGAGATGGGGGGGCCAGGCTCCTTTAGGACCACCTTCCCCTGGGCTCCAAGGTGAGGATAGCCCCAGTGGTGTCGAGCTGCGGGGCATTGGGTGCTGGCTGCAAGGGAGAAGCAGTTGGACTCTTGGCTCCCCTGGGCAGAGCCAGGACAGCTGAAATGGCTGGCGGAAGACCTACAACCCAACCCATCCCAGAGGGAGGTCCCACCTTCGGTACCCCTAGAGGCCACCTGGGGACACGACTTCCCCAGGGGCTTGTTGTGCCTTGCTCTACAGCTCAAAACCTAGGAAAAGAGGTTGAAAATTTGGTAATGACCTTGACACCGAGTCACACGTTTCGGTGATGGGGAGGACTCTGGGTAAGGAAGAACAGGGGTGGGGTGGGGGTGAAAAGCTGGGATGGATAGGCTAAACCCCTGGACCTACATTTGGGACCCGGTTCGACTTCCCCTTCATTCGCT